GTGGGGAGGGGACGCGAGAGGCCGCGGGGAGGGGGAGAGGCGGCTTACCTTGCTGAGCACCCCGCAGAGCTCAACAGGCAGCCCCGGCTCAGTCTCGGGGTCCTCCTCGGAGCCGGAGGAATTCCAGCTCTGGTTGTCCGACATGGAGACCCGAGCCGCAGCCACCGCCGAGCAGGGAAGAGCTGAAGCGGCCCCCGCCCACAGCAGCCTCAGCCTCCTCCTGCCGAAGGGACGGGAGCGGCGGGCTCTACCTGAGCGGCACCGCTCCGCGCCCGCGGGTGCCACCAGCGCCGCCCGCCTCTGCCAGCAAACGGCCGGCGCCGCGGCACGCAGGCTCGCGCTTCCCCCTCACCGTAGCTCCGCAGCCCCCGCCCGCGGCAAGAGCCACAACATAGAGCTGGCGAGGGGAGGAGGGGCGAGCGCGCCTCTGCCTGCCGCGCACTCCGCTCAGAGCCCCGCAGCTCCTGCCGCCGCCATTTTACGCGAGGCGGCTGCTGTATGCCACTATTTGCCGGCTCCGCCCCACGGCCCTCCCTCCCCACCCCGCCGGCCCGGCCGCGCGGCGCCCGACGGGAGTTGTAGTCTTGCCCCGCACGGCGGCAAGCCCGGCCTCCGTTGCCTCGCGGGAAAGGTAGTTTCTGGTGCTCGCTGGCGCAGCACGGCATGCTGGGAGATGTAGTCGGCCGCCGCGGCCTTCTCCCGGCCGTCGGCAGGTGGCTGCCATCTTGATTTCGTCGTTTCTGTGGCGGCACCGGCGGGTTTCGCCTCCGTGGCCCCGATGAGGTGGGGAACTCCGCTCCCGCTGCGGCCGGGCGAGGGCAGCGGTGCTGCTTCGGGCGATGCTTGTTGTACTTTTTTGGGGGGGTGAGAGAGGGCTCTGTCTCCAGCGAGGTGAAGCGTCTCTCCGGCCCTGCTCGCCTCCTCGCGTGGGAGATGCGGCCTCCTCTTCCCCGCCTTAAACCGGCGGGACTCGGGGGGGTGAGCGCCAAACCTTCCCCGTAACAAAAATGGTGGCCGCGGGGTCCGCAGGAAGGGGCGGGAGGTGTTGCCGGCTGCCGGGTGAAGCATGAGGGGAGGGCGGCCCGTCCCGTCTCAAGTAACGGGTCTCTGCCGCCCGCGCGGGGCTGGCGGGCACCGGCGCCGCTCCCCGGGGTTGCGGGGCGAAGCGGCCGCTGAGGCCCTCGCCCTGCGGGCGACGGCGATCGCCGTTAGGCGCGGCGTGCCGAGCAGCCGGGCTGTGCGGCCGCGGGTGGGCTCGGCAGCCCGCTCCTTCCCGGCCGACGGGGCGTCTCTGCGCCGCCCGTATTCGTTCTGCTTCCCCGGCTGCGCCCAGAGGCGTGCGGTGAGCGGAGCGGAGAGTGGTGGTCAGCAGCCTGCCTCAGCTGCGAGGTAGCCGTGTCCTGTCTTTTCTTTGCCTAATAATTTCGCAGTTTAGGGAACGAAACGATAATTCTTCTCTTCGGACTTACGTCTGGGCTGTGTGTACTTGCCAATATTTATGGGTGGAGAAATATTTGCAGAAAGGAAAAAAATAAAGGCAGTTGAACTTGTCATTTCACAACTTACAAACCGATGTAGTGGGTTGTGGAGGACTTAAGATTTGTGCTGGCTCATCTCCTTTCTCGTGATCTCTTGAAATAAAAATGTGTGTTGGTTGAGGAAACTTCAGTTTTGGAACACGCACTTCTGGTTATATCGCAAGAGCAATGCTGTACAATTGTATTTTCTCTGACTGCCTCCTTATGACAAATCATTGTGTAATTTTTCCATGTTATACTGCTTGAAAGCTTCCATTTAGGGTTTGGTTTTTTTTTAAAGAGCTCTTAGCATTGACACAGCTATTTATATGCATTCTCTATATGTGTAGCAGCTAAAAGTTAAGTAATATTAGTACTAGCTCAAAGCCTCTGGTATAAAGACATTTACAATGAATTCGGCACTGAGAGTGATTACTAAAGCAGCATCATTGTCTTAAACAATTACAAATAAAGAACAGTCACAGACATCTTAATATTTGTGTAATCACTGGAATGCACAGAAAAAAATTTATATGAGTCTACTGTGGGTTTTATTTTAGACAATTTTCTAATATATGAAACATTGTTGAGAAACTATGTTCTTTGCTTCACCAGCTGTTTGGAAAGAAACCAAGGAAGATATTTTTTCTTAGTGTCTGTTGCAATGTACTGCATCTGTTAAGCAAGAAGAGTGGCTGAGTTTTGTATATATTGATATGTATGAGAATAATTTATAGTTCTCTGCAGTATGTTGATGAAGTTAAGTGGTATCACCTGTAAAGCCAGTTGTGTTTTCCCCGTTAAACTCTGAATGAACTTCTTTCTCTGTCCTGATCGAGAGCAGGAGGTGAAGACACATGTCTGAGCAAATCCTTTTGGCAGTGATATGTACTACATAGTCATGTGCTGTCATACTTTTCGGCTAGGACTATTCATTTAGTTCTAGAAACAGCTCCTTTTTTTTTTTCTTTTTTTTTTTTTCTTTTCCCCTCCAGAATATGGATTGACTCGAACAGGTGTTTAAAAACAAAAATGCCAGGGGTAGCTATTCTTTCAGGTTGTTTAACAAATATATTCATCCTTGTTAGAAAGAATATTTGTTTAATTATTAATTTTAGCTAATATTTTATAACCAAACTTTAAATGAATAAATACTGAATGCTAAAAGGTTTGCCTTTTCAACTTTTTGTATAATGCTTTCTCTGTGCTATTAGATTGTTTTACATCTGCCACATCCTCCTAATATGTCTTATTTTTTCCACAATGTCACTGGCTTATATTCTTCCAAAAGGTGTATTGGGATTGTAAATACCGTATGTAAATTAACTCTTCTTTCTAATGTTCTGACCATCTTTTTCACATATAACTTGGTGTCTGTTACTCTTAAGGACATCGGGCTATATCTACATTAGCAAGAATGTGGTGCAGTGGGAGTAGGTTTGTAAAGGAAAGATTTGGTGTGCTGAGGACCTTAAGTTCATTTTATATATGCTTTAAGAGGTGTTTCTTTGTCGGGTCCCATGGAGGGCACATGCATTAGCAATTGTAACGCGTTAGGTGTCCTCTGGAAGCACAGTCTTCCAGTTTAGTTTAGTTTGAAAGGAATCTGGTTTGCCTGCTCCAAGACCAATCTGGGATGCAAACCAAAGCGTAGGAAATGGAGGTGATCAAACTGATATGCTGATGTAGACCTCTAACTCCTCTCTACCTCCTTCTATGCCTTTTCCACTGGACCTTTATTTTCCACTTCCTTGCTGTGTTTGTTCTTTCATCACAAGCCCCAGTATTCAATCTGTACCCCTTCTAGTGTCTTAGAGATGGCGAGAAGTTTACAAATTATTGTTTTAACTGGAAATAGTCATCACCTTTGTTAGCGTAGTGGAACAGATAGTGTTCTGTATTGCTGATGTACTACTTGTAATAACAAAAATGGGGTTTCGATTTTTACTTTAAAGATGTCAGTCATAAACATCATAAAGTGGGTGACTTTCTAAATACCTAGTTTTTTTCTTCTCCCTTTTTATATCTCTTATTTCCACTATTGTACCTTCTGTTTTCATGTGTTCATTGTATGTTATTAGAACACATTCACTGCTAGTATATAAACATTTTCTACTATGTTCATGCTCATGGTTATGTTTGTTCTTAAATGTAAGACTATTTTTCTTAAGAGGATCCCTGAAGGAGCTTTTTTTATACCACAGCATATTGCCTAATGGTATAGGCTCTGAGATACAGATGATTCAGGCAATTTTTTCTAAAACAATTGTGGTGTCTGTGAATCATTGTATTAGGGTTTTTCTTCTAAGTAAAAAAAATAAACAAGATTACTGCTATTTATGAATATATTGGCAATAAACACATATCTGTAGAAAGGAGGTTGCAGATAACTACACTACTTCTGGTGGAGTTTCTAGTGATGAATGTTGTTAATAATAGTTCAGTTCCTCCATTATTTTCTTTATGGATTGAACTGCTAAAACATTTGTTTTCAGTAAGGCAGAAGTACTAGGAAAACTTGGTTACAAACTTGAGATCTCAAGTCTTTCAGTTTAAAAGGTCTTGTAAAATGCTGACCAGAGACAGAAGAAGATACCGCAGTTCTTTGCCCTTTGAATAAACTCTGAAGTTTTAAAGACATGAGTTTTTTAGACAGAGAAGCTGAAAGCAGGATTTACAACAGAATTGTACTGCATCTTGCTTGCAGAAAATTAATAGGGGATGAGAATTCCACTTGTTTCACTTGTGTCGCTCTTCACATAAGCGAAGAAGTGTTCGAACAGTTTGATGAGTAGCAGAAAATAGGTGTTTTAACATTTAATTTTGGGCATTGTCAGAAGCAGTTTCTATTATCTGTTTAATTTGCAGTGTGAATTTTTTACTTTTTAAACGGATTGAATTGTCTTTAATTTGTTATATCTTAAAGCCAGTGAGTTCAGAAAGGACAATTCTAGGGCTTTGTTTTTTGAAGGCTAATTTTAGGTGCTTGTGTGGGATCTATGTTTTTGTAAAATGCTGAGTCAGCTGCTACTTGAAAAATAGTCCTGTTCAGCTGTGTCAGCTTGGGCACTTGGAATTTTCACTTCTGTGAATCCTGGCCCGGTTTTCTGTTCAGTATTCATTTATCATGTACATTTTTTTATTTTTACATTTTTAAATATACTTACATCTTTCTTAGAAGATTCTGTTTTCCAGGGAACTAGATTTTATTGTATATTGAGAGAGAGAGAGAGAGAGAATAGGGAAACAGCAGCAGTTTTGAATGTACTAGTAGGCAACCTAGGTGGTAACACTGTGTATATTAAATGCTGGTAACACTATTGTGCAGTTCCTTCTGCTCGTTCTTTTCGTGTAAATCACTACGATTAAAACTGACAGGACTCCTTTTCTTGGGGCTATTTGGAAACCAGGGCTCTAGTAAATATCAAACCCCTGTGGCTGAAAAGAATTGAGCAGATAGTTCAGAAGGGCAGTCTGATGTGCTTGCTTGCACAGTTCTTTGTTGGTGGTTTATCCTGCTGAGGAGGAGAGAGTTTAGAGCAGCTGATACTTAAATCATTATCAGAGAAACATATTTTCACAAGGAAATGAGAGTTAAGGAGTTTGTTAAATTTGATCCTGTCAGCCAGAATGTTTCCTTGCCAAATGAATACTCAGAAAAGACAGGTGCACTTCTTGCCGGAAAGTACTTAATGTAATGTTACTGGTTTGGGATAAAATCCTTATCCAAGTAATGGATAAATCAAGTAGTGTGAAATCAAATGCACTACTGGAGTTTGTAGTGTAGCCTTTTAAGTATCAGAAATGTTAAAAATATTCTAGCGGGGTTGAGTTTTCGTAGTTCATTGAATGTATGTTTGTTCTTTTCTTAGAAATTCAAGAAATAATGCAATGCATTTGTGGGAAACCAATTGTTCAAATGGCCTGACTATTGGCACATGAACTTCTATACCAAGGTGGGTTAGGTGGATTTTAGTTCTTTAATGATGGTGATGCGAACAGGTGTATGCACAGCCTGGATGACGATACTTCTGTGCAGTGAGTGGAATAAGAAGTGTAGCTATGTGGCCAGTAGTTCAATCTTAATTAGCAATTGGAGTAAAAACAAAGTGGTGTCGATTAAAAATGTTGGTTTAGATGAGTTCTGGTCTTACTGGGAAGGTCTCGTATAGCCTCTTTTGTTTATTACTTATAGTATTGTTTCAGTAGTACCAAGAGGCTTTGTTCTGAGGTGGCCCATGATGTGGTTTCCAGTTGTAATAATTT